TATAAATGTTCGAATTGCCTTCCGTTTGCTGCAAGGCACATTTCAAAATTTTTCATTACATGATATAAAATTATACAAATTGTAGGGTGCACTATTTGAAAAATTGATGTGACGAAAGTTTGAATTTCGTGAAAATCATATAATATTTCTGTCCACCCTGTATAACTTTCGAAGAAGATGAGTATTTCATATGATAGAATATGCTACCGACTACCAATACAGTATTGAATGATTCCATAAATTTTTAGTAGTATGAATGATATGGGTTTGTCTAAAAAAATGTCTGCATTTCATGAAACACTAGTATAACTTGGCAACGCCTTGTCGGATTTTCAAAAATATAGAACTGATAATTTGCCTAGGGGGATGAGAATTCAGATATGTTTAAATATATGGGGTGTTCCATTTGAAAAAATTGATGTTCGATTTTGTGAGCCTTTCTTGCGCCCCTCGTATAAAATTTAGTCATTCCTGAAGTTAGCACTCATGATGCGATATGATGTGGAATTATAATATTTTGAAATATCCTATTGGTTCAGGAGATATTCAACTGTCCCACTGGTCTAGGGACACACTGTATATTTCATATTGTATCTCCTTCACATAGGTTAGTGACCTGTTTGTGAAAGAGGATGAATCATTTCCGTCTAAAATTGTTTTTCCACAATATACAGGGTGTATCTGAATAACACCGAAAAAATTCAAGGGGTGTGTTTCCTTGTGATATTCTAGCAAATAAAGTTCACATGAACATGTTTCCTAACTTGCTCCGTTTATGAGATACAGGATGTTGAAGTTGAAAGTATTATTCATTTTTATTTATAACCCCCCCTGTATAAGCTTTTATGGTGACAAAATTCAGTATGGATGGAGACTCTGTGAAAGCCCCAAAATTTCAAAATGATTCTAATTGGGGTTATTGAGTAATCTCAATGGAAGTCTTGAAAACATCTACATTAAAATTTGGAACCAAATCGAATTCATATTGTTTCCTCAAGAACTAAGCTAGATACAAAAATCACAGAGAGGATAAAAAAGTTGTTATTTTAATAGTTCAATCTAATGAAAATATGGAACTCAGAAAAACCAGTGGCGTACAATGACATTCACCATGAATATCGATTAATTTACCCACTGTGACGCCACTGGAATAGTTATTTAACCAACTAGTGTATTAATCGCCTTTTAATATACAAGTTGGTTACAAAATTTTTCCGTCGACAATATTTCTCATTTCTCCTGCAATGAAGAAAACTCTTATTGGTTCGCGAATTCATCATCCATCCGGAAACTGCTAAGAATCACCCAGTAGCCTTGTTACTGACATTAGTGTCATTTGACATTTGTCGAAATGATCAACATAGAAAATAAATTGATTGAGTTAGGAAACAGGGATTAAAATCGTGTCAGAAACTTGGAAAGGCGAACCCGTTAACGGAAAATCGTCGATGAAATCCATATTTTCGATTTAAATGCAGATTCCGCTAGTTATAGCATAAACAATGAATGCACGCGGTGTATATGTTTGGTTGCCTATAAAACAATCGTGCATTAATAGACAAATCGTCCATTAATAGGGGTCATTAATGAACGATTTCATATACATTAAACTTAGTCGTTAATACGAGGTCGACGGAAATAGTTATTTAACCAACTAGTGTATTAATGAGGACGATTAATGATCGAGATATTTTAACGTGCGAGCGAAGCGAGTGCGTTAATGTTCGAGATCATTAATCGCCTTTTAATATACAAGTTGATTACAAAATTTTTCCGTCGACTATGTTTCTCATTTCTCTTGCAATGAAGAAAACTTGGTTCGCGAATTCATCATCCATCCGGAAACTGCTAAGAATCGCCCAGTAGCCTTGTTACTGACATTATTTAGTGTCATTTGACATTTGTCGAAATGATCAACATAGGAAATAAATTCCTTCTGTTAGAAAACAGGGATTGAAATCGTGTCAGAAACTTGGAAAGGCAATCGTCGATGAAATCCATATTTTCGATTCAAATGCAGATTCCGCTAGTCATAGCATAAACAATGAATGCACGCGGTGTATGTTTGGTGGCCTATAAAACAATCGTGCATTAATAGAAAAATCGTCCATTAATATAGGGGTCATTAATGAACGATTTCATATATACATTAAACTTAGTCGTTAATACGAGGTCGACGGAAAATATTATTTCGAATTGAATTGCACTAGAAGAAGCTCCATATTACTATCAACAAAACCACACCGTTTTATTGAAATTGATGAAAAGACAATTGGGAAATGAATAGGAAGAAAAAATGCAAAAGAATAGTGATCATTGAATTTATTATATGACCATCATTATGATGGGAAATTAATGAAATGATCATTCGGTTTATGAAATGATGACAAATCACCATTAGGATAATGATACCTATCTACTTACTTATTTCCTTCAATATCTCGAACCAAAGCTTTCAGCCTTCCTAATAGGGCACCTTCTGCACAGGCCATTATTGTGATACAGATAATTTGGACAAACACAACACAGAGAATAAACTAGAATTTATGAAGAAACACCGAAATGGAATCGTGTCTTGACACGGGAAAATTTGTTTACAATTTTGTTTTTACATAACTGTCAAATGATGAGAAGTTTTGATTTTGAATAGCGAAGAATGCCCTATAAAGGGAGGCTCTGAAGGAACAGAATATCTTCAAATCGAAAGGGTATCTCGCTTAGGTGAAAAAGTACAGTGCATCCCATTTTGATTGAGACTACCAGGTTTCTCGCTGACCCGTCAAAGGTTGTTTTGCTATGTAAACATTATTTCTAGAATATATTTTTTGTTTTGTTTTTTCCATCTCTTGGAGCGCACGAACGGAAATTCCTATAAGGTTGAGAGAACATCGTGCGTACCTATAGAGAGGATAGGGAGTGGAGGTCGGTGTTGGATTTTTTTCCTTTTAGAGGTTATAACTTATCGGGAATACTTCCATTACACTTTTTTATTATTTCATTTTCTACTTCTTTTTAGTTTGGCTGTCCATAAAAGCGTGATTCGTTAGTTTTTCGAACTACTATTTATTTTCTACCTCTTTTCAGTTCTGTTAAGTCTGTCTGATTATTTTATCAAACTCTACTATATTTGTTTTGAATTTATTTTTATTTTGTCTATCTATAAAAGCGTGTTCATAAGTTTTTCAAACCACCATTTATAACAAAGTTCGTTTGCCATATTAGATCCGCCATCTTGACCCAATTTTGACGAAAATAATCAATCTCCGACACCGAAAACCCCCAGATACCAATTTTAAATAGAATCGCAGATCATAATAATTACAAAACTTGTTCGCCATTTTGGATCCGCCATCTTGATTTTACGAATTTTGAAGAAAGAATCATAATCTCCGACCCCGAGAACCCCCTGCATACCAACAATTTTGAATAGAATCCGATCATAAACCGGAAGTATTGCAACGCAAGTAGAAATGTCAAAAAATGTCACTTTGAACTATGATACACAACCCCCAAATTTCGTATTCTTATCTTCAATAATTTAAAAGTTATAGGAGGATATTCACATGCATATAACAAAAAAAAACCAAATTGATTGCCAATGAATATCCATATCGAATGCCCCTGCTGTGATGACTTAAGGGTATTGAAGAAATATTTCGCGAATCTCCTGACCTCATTTAAAATAATAAATTGTTGCCACTTATTGATGTGAAACATACTGTAGTTATATTCTGAAATCGATTTTTTTCTCGATTGAATAAATATGTCTTATTGTCGATCTATCAATTTCGATACCTTCGGACCATCATATGATCAGAAATCATCCAGTACAATGACTAAAACTAGAGAAAACTAACTATTTTCCTGGCGATATGCCACGCAGAACATTGAAATACATCTCAGTTCTTCCCAAAATCTATGCAAAGATTCGTTGCATTCAATGTTCTGGACAGAAAAACAAGAATGAGAAACCAGTACCCCGAATAGAATAAAACTGTGATACATCACTAGAAAGGAAATTTAACGCTGATTTCAAATCTGTAAAAATTCAATATGGCGTCCATAAGAAAAATTGAAGTTGTAGGTGATATCTCAGATATTTGACATTTTGATGAAAAACTGATAAAACCATTGAAAAGAACACCAAAAAGTGCTATGAAAATGTTGAAGTCATTTTTCCATATAATCAATAGTTTCCCAGATATTCGGGAAAAACAACAATACAAGATTTCAGTTTTTCCCAAATAACTCAAGAATTACCAAAAGCTAGCCAGGATTTCTCGATAGATCCTAATTCAAAATTGAATTTGCTACAACGTTGCCAATTTAACCGTTTCTCTATCTCTCATAGTTACTGAGATCCCAATGGTGAGGAAAGAATTTGGGACACATTGTATAGCTACGAAAGTAGTTGTTCTTCTCTCGTTATCTACCAGTTTCGTTCATTTACGAACATTTGAGGAAATTATACTTTGAGCTATTGATATTTATTTTTCGTCACCCCATTCTGTAAAGAATTATGAGGTAGGACGTGGTTTATTCTTCATTCCTCGGAATCAAAATGTGATCTTTCAGCGAGATTACGAAAAGACAATGCGTAAAGTCTTGAACGTCACACGGCCGATTCGAAAATAACAGATTCGGTTGTTATAATCCTCGGCTGAACCTCGAATTACAATATTCAACCTCATCCGTTATTTGCTACATATTGGCCTTGTTACGTTAATAACTAACATTTCATTCCACTTCGAGCATTTTGGCTTTTTCGTAGTTGTCACTCTATAGAAGTTGGCGTGTTCCCCGTATGAGAGTTATATTCGACTTGGCCTCGTATTCTGTATCAATAGTGACGGATGAGAATCATTCCATTTTTTTATCAAATTACAAGCAACCGTAATTTCAATAAAACAGAACATCGATCACCTTAACAACCATTCAACAACCATCAAACTCGCGAAGCATCACACAATTTTTCGGCCGTTCAACTCCAAAATTCTCAGTGTTCATCAAAAGGAGAAAAACAACCAACTAGCTACTCAAGATGTCCTGCTGCCCACCCGCGTGCTGTTCCCCCTGCTGCCCTCCAGCCTGCTGTGTGCCCTGCTGCCCGTCCCCGTGCTGCCTGCCCTGCTGCGTGCCCTGCGTGTACGTGCCCTGCGTGCTGCCGTGCGCCCCCTGTTGCCCCCCTTCTTGCCCACCGAAGGTAATTTCCATTTATTTTCTTGAGAAACAGATTAGGAAGTTTATCATCATCATCGCGTTATAGGAAATAATTTGTTTTCATATCTATGATGCTTGAATAAGTGGGAAAAAATAGTTATTTGGGTAAAACTGCACTTTATCATGCGATGGTTTTTTTTTTCGAATTTTGTTTGGACTTCACGTATTTTTGTCTTAAAAACACGAATTTGATAATGAAAATGTGAACAAACCATTATTTATTAAAATATTTCACTATAAAGTTACAGATTTCACCTTCTTTTTTGCATGCCTTTTGGATCGCATTTAGAACAATTTGCCCTTCTTTTTTCATCATTGGACAATTCATATATCACAATGTTCTTCAATTACACATTTTATCTAATATATGAGTCAACTAGAAATATGATTTTCTTGTGATTTATCCATATTTACTGGAGAGAAGGAAGAATATCATTTGAAATAATGGTGTGTGTAATGTCATTCAAGAGCAATATGAAAAACTCGCCAAAAAATCATATTTCTATATAAAAATGTGTCATTGAAGTACATCATGAGTATATAAATAAGTGTCCAAGTTCAATGACAAAATAAGAAGAGCAAGTAGCTGCAAATGCATCAAATACAAGGGGGAAAAGACGGCAAAATTTCGATCTTTCTCCTGAAATATCACGATAAATAGTGGTTTGTTCACATTTTCAATATCAAATTCGTGTTTTTCAGACAAAAATACGTCAGCACCAGAAAAAAACCTTCGTATGATAAGTGCAGTTCTAGCGTTATTTGTTTGCATTTATCATGCGATGGTTGAGTTTATGAAAATCAACATAATACCAGCTGATGGCTATTCAATTTTTCAATTATCAAAGATACAAGGCGATTTTGAAAATGAATACTCTTTGGACCCCTGGAAATATTGAATTGTTTCCATTTGGCTAAAACCGAGGCTAAAACACAACACAATACACAATTATCAATCTCAATTTATTTTCGGTTAGATTATTTTCGTAATCCCATACTGTTATTTTGATCCAATGGTATTCAGATTGAAAATGTAATGTTATTAACACCCTCCGTTCGTTAACATTGTTTAACGGCCGGCGGCCGTTAATTGTTTCATAACAACACGATGTTGGATTTTTTCTGTGGAATTACGAGGTACGTGGTTTGTCCTTCCCTTGGAATCAAAATGTATTCTTTCAGCATGATTACGAGAAGGCTTGAACGACACACGGCCGATAGTTGTTTGTTACATAGGTATCGGCCTTGTAGCGTTAATAACATTTTCTTATTGGAATCTAGAGAGATCCTATTTCATATGATTTTTTTTTCCAGTGCTGATGGGCAGAGCTACTAGATGTTGAAAAAGAGTGAAGATAAGAAGAATATTTTTCCATGTCCAGATTGGTGTTTTTTAAATTTGTGTACCAATAATTAGATGATGTAGTCAGGAAATGAAGACATGTTCACTAAAGATGCTGTAATATCATTTGAAATATAATGGGTTGTTGAAATCAAAAAATTTGAGTTTCTTGTTTATTCAGATATTATATATTTTATGCACTAGCGGGCCGTAAAGTGCACTTTACCGCCCGGTTTTGCGGGCGTTAAGTCGCACTTTACCGCCCGCGGGCTCATTATGGCCCACGGGCCGTAAAAGTGCACTTTACCGCCCGCTGTTCTCAGTCACCTCATATCCACATATCAATTAATGGAAAACCTATGATCATATTCCTATATAGATTCTGATATATCCAGCGGTATATCATAAACTTCTTCTTCATCCGATTCCATAGTCTCGCTATTATCTTATCACTAATTTTACTTCTCGATCAAAGAATGACAATTCAGCTCGTTTATTGGATGTATTGCTATAGACAACAACCATCAGATTGATTGACAACGTCAAAATAAGTTAGGTTTATATACTGGGTATGCATATTGTAAAATTCTGAAGAATGAATCTCTTCTAGAGCTGAAAGAGTTTTACTATTACGATAATTGCAATATTCGTACGATAATTTTCATATGTTAATCATCCATGAACATTACGCTTCTCTTGATTACTGAATTTATACGTAAGAAATTAAATTCTGGGGAATATTAGTTTATCGAAATCTATAGTCATTACTTATGAGTCAGAAAATAAACCACTAGTGCATACAATTTTGTATGTATCTCGTGCGTGAAATACGTTTATGGCCTTCAGCGTGTAATGGCCCTCGGCTAGCGCCATCGGGCCATTATTCACGCCACAGGCCATAAACGCCTACTTTACGCCCTTGATACATAAATAACTATTATGCACTAGCGGACTGTAAAGTATACTTTACCGCCCGGTTTTGCGGGCGTTGAGTTGTACTTTACCGCCCGCGGGCCCATTATGGCCCACGGGCCGTAAAGTGCACTTTACCGCTCACTGTTCACAGTTTCCTTATATCCACATATCAATTCATGAATAAAGCATGATCATTTTCCTAGAATCTAATATACCTATCCAGCGGTATATCATAAACTGCTTCATCCGATTCCATAGTCTCGCTATTATTATTATCACTAATTACTACTTCTCAGTCAAAGAATGAAAATTCAGCTTGTATTGATATAGACAACAACTATCAGCTTGCTTAACAACGTCAAAATTAGGTAGGTATGCAGTATGCATATTGTAAAATTCCGAAGAATGAATTTCTTCTACAAATCAAAGAATTTTACTATTACGATGATTGCAATATTCGTACGATAATTTTTATAAGTGAATCATCCATGAACATTACGCTTCTCTTGATTACTGAATTTATACGTAACAAATTGAATTCGGGGAAATATTAGTTTATCGAAATCTATAGTCATTACTCTTGAGTCCTAAAATAAACCACTAGTACATCAATTTTTGTATGTATCACGTGCGTGAAATGCGTATATGGCCTTCATCGTGTAATGGCCCTCGGCTAGCGCCATCGGGCCATTATTCACGCCACAGAGGCCATAAACGCCTACTTTACGCCCTTGATACATAAATAACTATTTTCGCATGGGAACATCTTAATTATTCCAATGAAACATGCTATTTTTCCTGAAACCAAAATAATTGACACTATTTAGTATATCCACTTGCTCGCGGAAAAAGTCTACAACCGCACTCATTTTAGTGTCACTTTTCTGCACTCATTTTAGTGCATGAGAGTAAATGCTTTTTTCTCCGATTGGCAGCAAATATTAATTTTGCTGACACATATCAATCAGCAAAGTATTACTTTTCCTGCCTAGGCAGCAAAGTGGGTACTTTGCTGCCTAGGCAGCAAAATGGTTACTTTGCTGATTGATATGTATCAGCAAAATTAATAATCCTTAAACGTTTATAATTTCCTTCACATGTCATCCGAGACTTCTCCGGCAACAAATTCAACTCTATATTCTTTGCCACCTCCCTCATTTCTGGAGGTGTAAGTACTTCCAGGTCGCTATCACTGTCCATTATATAATAATTTAAATATACCGATATTTTTTCGCACAACTGTCAGAAATTTCATGAATTGTCAAACTATAATCATTATGGACATTTCCATAGCAACCAACCATACCAACAACTGCGATTTCTATCAAATTTTATTTTAATTGAACACTACAGGAAAAATAAAGATATACACTCACCGGCAAAAAAAACCGGCCACCAAAAAATTTAGTCAAGTTGTTCACCCTGTAACTTCTTTAGTTCTTGTCGGATTTTGGTGAAATTTTGATCGAATCGTAGATTCATGTTCCGGAATGTTAACCTGAATATGAATTCCCAAAAAAGGTGATAGCTTGGTCATTATACAGGGAAAAACAAGAGTTACTCATTTACCCATAACTTCTTAACGCCCTGTGGCTGAAGTGAGTGGTTGAACTCCTCTTCATTATGTCTTGGATTGAAGAGTATTCTTTTCTCATCACAATAGTTTTTGATTCACGTCGATTTCTCATTTTTTAGAAAAGATACGAGGGTTTTAAGAAAGTATGGAGTTATTCAAGTTTTATTAACAATAATCAGAACGTAGACACACCTACACAAAAAAACCTTACAAACGAAAAGTAGATCTCCTAGATGTATTCAATACCGATAGTATGCCCTCCTCGAGCTTGAATTACAGCATTTAATCGCCGTGGCATCGAGTTGATCAGATTTCTCAAGCAGTCTTGAGGAATTGCCTCAAATTCTTCTTGAAGGGCGAATCGTAGCTCTTGAAGAGTCTCTGGCAATGCCGAACGTAGACGAATGCGCCTCTGTAGTTCATCCCAAAGATGCTCTATGGGATTGAGATCCGGGCTGCATTCTGGCCCAGTCAAGCCTTAGAATTCCGACCTCATTCAAATACTCGGTTACAATTCGAGCAACGTGTGGTCTGGCGTTGTCATGCATCAAGACAAAGCCGTCTCCAATAATATGGGAAGTATACCAAGAAAACAATGTGGAAATAAGCCATATTGATTTAAAGATGTTTTTTTTAAGTTGTCGATCGATGAGTTCATGTACGTTCTGATGATTGTTAAATAAAACTTGAATAACTCCATACTTTCTTAAAACCAGGTATCTTTTCTAAACAATGAGATATCGACGTGAATCAAAAACTATTGTGATGAGAAAAGAATACTCATCAATCCAAGACATAATGAAGAGGAGTTCAACCACTCACTTCAGCCACAGGGCGTTAAGAAGTTATGGGTAAATGAGTAACTCTTGTTTTTCCCTGTATAATGACCAAGCTATCACCTTTTTTGGGAATTCATATTCAGGTTAACATTCCGGAACATGAATCTACGATTCGTTCAAAATTTCACCAAAATCCGACAAGAACTAAAGAAGTTACAGGGCGAACAACTTGACTAAATTTTTTGGTGGCCGGTTTTTTTTGCCGGTGAGTGTATATATATATATCATTATGAACAATTGGAGAAAAAATTATATGTTCAACTCGGCAGCAAAGTAGATTGACTGCCGAGGCTGAATTCATAGCCGAGCGTAGCGCTGCCTAGTTAAACAAATAACTATTTTTTCTCTTGTAGTAGTCCAAGAACCGGCTGTAATCTACGGTATAAAAAATACCAATAAATGATTACATTCAATTCGAATTGACTACATATATAGTGGCCTATATCTAGGATAGTGCCCTAATCAGTTGATTCAACTCAACCTGTGTATAAAAATAAAAATTTAGTTAAAAAGAATAAAGAAATCCCAATCTAAATATTGATTATCTCAATATTATAATATGCATTAAAGGAAAAAAATTACCAAAGAACCACAGGAAGATTCCAAAGAGATACAGAAAAACCGCATCATTTGGAAATGAAGTTGAAAATTATTATAATATTCATTCAATAAATCTAGTCAATAATCATCAAGCTGTTGAAATATGGGGTTGCTAAGAAGTGCAGCTTACTGATGAATATGTATTTTTTTCGAGTCTCAAGCTTTTTGTGTTTAAATTCCGACAGTAGATGTATATAGGGAATATCAAAGTAATAAACACCAACTTTCTTTCAAACGTATCTGAACTTTTTCTATACTTTCCTTATGTAGGTGACCAAATTATAGAAGCATTTGCCAATGTATTCCTGACATAAGCATTGTAAAGTTAATTAATCCAGAGCGAAATGATTGAAAAATGGCACTTTCCTGTGCGGTATTTGCACAATTTTGCGATTTGATAACGGGATGAAAGTGGTAGATCGGTAGATAATACCCGATGGACTAATATAAAACTCACTGTGGTCCATCGGATATTATCTCTCGGCAGGGACGAAATATTCTCAAAAATACTGACGCTCTCTGTCACTACCTTAGCTCAGTTTATTGCATCGTGGGACGTTTTTGGATATTCGCAATAAATGGGACATTCTCCCTATTCATTTGCTTTTTGTGTCTCTCGTCAACAATTGTTCCTCCCTTGGCAGTCCCTGCGAGATTAACCCTTCGAGTTGAGGCTTCGCACCCCTTTGTGATCACTTTGGAGAGCTGCAGAACATCTATTTGCGGCCAAAGACTCGTTCATCCAACGAACAGCGAGGCTCTGGAACACATTGCCAAGGGAGGTGTTCTCCAAGGCATATAAGCTCCAGACCAATTCCTACCTTATTTTCCTTGGTTCTCACGATATTCTCTGAACATTACAGGATATCCCTTTTCGTGGGAACCAGAACATAAAAAAAAATCAAGCAAATATACATCGCTGTACCGTGGATTCTGCTGAGATTAAGGGGTGGCACAGGTATAGGATTTTGAGATCTACTATTCAATACTGTCTGTAGGTTAATCGAGGAGGTGGTACATTCATATAATTCCAGATTTTTTTGGGATATTCTCCTCGTTTCTATGAAATAAAAATATGAATATTCTGTCAATATACGTGTAGTAAGGACAAATCAGATGATTTGCTCCAAACCCCAAAAAGTCAATGCGTTTGAAGAATTTTCCTATCAGAGAGCCTAAAAGAAAAATTCACTAGCTTGTCAGTGGCAACTTGTATTGAGAAAGGTTTGGAGGA